TGAAACAGGATTATTGGAACGATAGGCAGGTCTGTAACCTGGGAACAAGGAGCTGGTTCAGACCAATAAAGCTACAAGTGACTGAGTCAAGTCAGTGAAGAACAGCAGTCAGGCACTAAAGTGTTAAAAGTACCCAATTTGAAACCCAATGCACCCTACCACCCTGGTGAGTGTGCGGGTGATACCAGTTGACTTAAAAAAAAAAAACCTTCGGTCCTTCAAAGTCCACTCGGTATACTTTCCCCCACTGCTGTCACTGGGCACACCCCACACTCTGTTCACTGTCACCACCTTGAGCACACCATGACTTTGCACTTCAACTGGGTTTAAATCCAGCTTTACAGCCCAGCTGTGAAGCATGAGCTTCAGGTTTTCAGGCCAACTTTTGGCTCTAACATGGTTTTATATCCATGGTGCCAGCAGCTGTGTCCTACCCCACCCCACCCCTGCCCTCCCCACCCGCTTCCATACTTTCTCATCTGAGAGGTGCTTGTAGATCCCAAACAGATGCTCCAGCCCCACCAGGGGTTTGAGATACACGCATGGTCATACGTGTCTTGTCTGTCGTTCCCGTGAAAAATCTTGCAGTTCATTTGGAAAAAAAAAAAATCTAAACATTCACATAATCTCATGCCGTCCAACACAAGGAAACACCACCACCGCCCTTTACCAAGAATAGATCCAAGCAAAATCATCTTCGAATTTTTTTTTTTTTTGGTTCCACTTAAATTGCATGTTTTATTTCTCCCAATCCCAGCAATAGCACAGAAGCCCCATCGTGTCCATCCCAGACTGGTTTCTAGTAGGCTGAGATTACAAGGAGCCTCAGTAATGCTAATGCCACAAAGGGCTCCCAAATGCCGGGCACAAATATGCCTCCACGCTGATGAATGTCAATAGTGCCCTGGCCCCAATGTTTCGGCACTCAGTGTGACTTTACAACACAACCTGCACCTTTGAAACAGACAGTCTGGGAGTGGGGGAATGTGAGGGAGTGAAGCTGAAATTGCCTCCTATTAGCTCACCCTTTCAACATTAAACAGAGACCAAGAGAGAAACAGTTCCAATAGTTCACATATATTTCTTCTTGTGCAGTCTAAGCCGAGAATGCCATGTAAATGGGTCACTGCGAAATGCAGCAATTTAGTTATTCTCCGATCAAAGGAAGAAACAAACCAGTATGATCTCACTTCTACTAACTTTTGAAGGTTTACAGCAGTTAAAGTATTTTGCTTCTATGTATGAAGGTTAAAAAAATCATTTTTTTTTTCATAAAATACAAGAGCAACCAATTTTACCATCAAGTAAAAGTAAAAACTGGGATTCTTTTTAAATTAGTCCAAAGTGGCATTTAGGGACTTAGTTGTAGGCTGCTGCGCTGACAGACACCACGACAAACCAAAGTGTAGGGTTGGGTCTGGTTTTGTTTCGCTTTTCTTTTCAGTATCCAATGCTCACGGATTAAGTTCTGGAAATGTTCCAATTGTAAGGCAGGGATCTGTTTGGATTCCACCACGGGTATGCTCCTTGGGTTGAATGCTGGAGGGTGAGGCACGTTTTGCCGGACCCATGTCGACTACCTAGTAGTCATCAAGGTCAAAAAATTCATCATCTCCTCCTTGGTATTCCATTCCCTGGAAATCTACTCGGTACCGCAAGATACCTGGAGAAACAAAGGAGAGTAAGTAGCCTGGGCTCTTAAAGCAGGAAGAGACTGCTCTAACAGGAGAAGCCTACCCCACTCCAGAATTACAGTCGGAATAATTAGCCCTAGACATGGTAGCTCACAAATATAAGCCTTAGTACCCGGGAGGCCAAGGCACAAGGACTGCCAGTGTTGGAGGCCAGTTTGGGTGGCACACTGAATTCCAGGCTAGCCCCCTATGCCCCAGAAAAACCCACAAAGGGGAAGGGAGAGATAAAGTGAATTCCAGTGCACGTGCTAAGCCCAATGACCTGAGTTCCAACCCTGGAACCCACTTAATGGAAAGAGTAGCTATCTCCCAGTTATCTTTTGACACCTGAATGTCTGTAGGCACAAAACCACACTCCCTAAAAATAAACACAGGCCCAGCAAGATGGTTCTGTAGGTAAAGACACTTGCTGCCCCAGCTGACTCTTCAGGACCCACACAGAGGACTGGCACTCTTGTGCCCACACAATACATAAAAACGACACCACCAAACCCCAGAGATTAGATACATTATCAACATGCACACATCTTCAGTGACCCAGAGGCGGCAGGTGGATCTCTGTGAGTTTGAGGGAAGCCTGGTCTACAAAGTGAGTTCCAGGATAGCCAGGGTTCCAAAGAGAAACCCTGCCTCAAATAAAATAATAGAAAACATTAAAAATAACTAAAAATTGGTCCAAAACTAAGGAATGTGGCATCACATTCTGATCCAGCCACTGCGTCCATGTAGAGAGGGCATATGTCACTTAATAAGTAAACTATTTCACGACAGCCAAGAAGACCTGGTTGAGTTTGCTACTCACCTCCAATTCCACCAAATCCTTTCACAAACTGTGATCCTTCTTGTGACTTATCTGTGACAATTTCTAGTGTAGCTCCAAATTTTTTATAGTTGTTAGCAAACCATTCCAAGAGGGGCATGCTCTCTATCAGTTCATGTTCCTGTCCAGTCTACAGGGCACACGACACAGAACAGTGGGATCAGACACACAGCTTAGTACATACCCAGTGCCCACCGCCACCCACCCTCCTCACCGTTTTGAGTATTATAATTAAACAAAACTAAGCCTATCTACCAGTTCTTGGTAACATAACTGAAATGGTAGATAAACTGATTATTTCACTATTTTCCCTCAGGCTGTGGGCTCAGCAACAAAATGTTAAACCGTTCTCAGTTGTCAACTTGATTCCTGTGGCTGATTCCAGAAACCAGGCTGTTGTAGTTTCTCATCCTTCCTCAGGCCAGAAGAGACATACACAACAGGACAGCCTAAATAAATAAGTACACCACACAGATGCCTGTGCCCATGAACTGAATTACAGACAGTTGTAGGCTGCCATGTAGATGCTAGGATCCAAACCTAGGACCTCTGCAAGAACAAGTGCTCTCAATTGCCGAGCATCTCCTCAGCCCTGTTCTCAGAGAGCCCAGTGTTGTGTGTGTATGGGAGTGTGCATGCCATAAGGCATCATGTAATGGTCAGAAGACAAATTCTCAGGCTTGGTCAGCCCATCAGTCCAATTCAGAATTTAAGGCAGCCACCTGTCTTGTTTAGAAAGGTAGCATTCATTTTAAACTATGGTGATACATTTAAACCTAGCTAAGTGCAAAGAAAAAGCTGATAAAATGCTAAAAAAAACAAAGCAAGCCAGGCACTGGTAGTGAGTGTCTTTAATCCCAGTACTTGGAAGGCAGAAGCAGGTGTGTATCTGAGTTCAAGGCCAGCCTGCTTACAGAGTGAGTTTCAGAACAGCCAGGGCTACAGAGAAAAACCCTGTCTCAAAGCTCCCATCTCTTCCAGCTAGTAAAGCGACAAGGTCTCACACACAGAGCCGGGATGGTGCTACTCAAATTACATTTCTGTTATTTCAAGGATAACAATGTTTTCCTGATTTCTTATTTTTTTAGAGATCTTTAAGGACTTTATGTATGTAGTTCCAGCAGGCCTTGAACCCAGAGTGCCTGCGTCTCTCTCACTCAGTCTGTAATAACCATGATTCTGCCCTCCTTGGATACAGATTAGTGTATGGCAGTGAGCCACTGCTCCCCTTCCATGGTTGTCTAATTAGAATAAAGCTTTGTTTCCCAGAGCCGATACTGTATGTTACCAATGCGTTAACACTCAAGCTTTTCTGTGTTATCAACTAAGCAAAGAAAACTGTACATACCTCTTTGTCTGTGAAGTGAGATTTATCCTTCTCTTGTTCTGGAGTTAAGTAGAGAATTTTCTCCTCTGTAGTATAAAAAGTTAAAAAACAGTTAATCTAGCTCTCAAAGTCCTAACAGACATAAGCTCTGCGAGAGATCAGATAAGGACTTCTGGACTAACTCTACCAAACCTTCCCACAAACGCCTCAACACATCAAGTACTTGGTATCCCGCTCCTATAAGGAAACAGCAAAGATAGTCAAGATACAGCCCCATGTCTTGGCCAATTTAACTACGAACAGGCATTACATAGCTAGGGTAGGGTGGGGTGGGGTGGGGTAGTGGGGGCGGCAATATGACACATGACACTTTTATGTTCCCTTGTAAATATGCCTGAAACCAAAGAGTTCTGAACAGAGAAATGTAACAGACAACAACAACATCTTCTCCTTCTTCTCCTTCTCCTTACCCTCCGTGCCTTGGCAGTGAAGGACGTATCTCATTATGTCCAGATTCTCATAGACGATCAGAATCTCTACCGCGCCCATTTCCAAAGCCTTTAGTGTATCTTCAACTCCAAAACAGTACTTGCCTGTGTCCTGGCTAATCTCATCAAAGTATCGCCCTGTGGATTAGGGACACAAGAATAAAGTACATGGTGGCTCTTTGTTTCCACAAACTCAACCAACTGTGGATCAAATACATTTAGAAAAATAAGCATGACATGCCAACATGTACTATGGAGCGAGGTTTGTGATGGCTGCATCTGCATGGAACATACATAGATCTTTACCTGTCTTCATATTCCAAACCATAGCAGACTATTACTAAAATAATATTTACGATGTTAGGAATTACAAATTAAGAGATAATTTAAAGTACATGAGAGGGTGTGTGCAGGTTATATACAAATACTACACCACTTTATTAGAGGCTTTCACAGTTTTGGATTTTGGTATCCCCAAGATTTGAAATCATTTCCACCAGTCCTGACTGCTAAATATTAAAGGGGATTCCACTTTCAGTACCAGGCTTGGCACCATGAACAGGCATCCCCCGCTCTTGAAAGGAAGGAAGGCCCAGGCCACATGGCCAAGGAGACCAAAGGTTTCAGGCCCATTTTTTGTTGACCTAGGTTTTCCTCAGTTGCCCTTTCCTGTGCCCCTTTAAGGTTGGTGCTGTATTTAAAAGGCTAACACACAAGGGTAAAGGAACTCTCTATAAAACCCAGGTAGGAGACTGTATGCTTCCTCTTTGGATCCCGTGTAGGAGAAAAAAAAAATCTATACAAGTTCTTGTTTGGGGGTATACGATACTGGTCTTGTGAAAGCCGGGCAACACTGTATCAGTTTAAACTACTTTCTGAGTAGCCCCTACTCTCAACTCAGAGCCCCACTCTGAAAAATCAGGCCAGCTGGAACTTGTGGCAATACAACCATCGTAGGTAGCTTCCTGGGTTATAGAGGTGTATGCCATGTGTCCAGCTGATACCTCTTTTCCAGTAAAAATGTTTAATTTTCCATTCTTTTACTTTTGTTTGGGAAAAGAGTCTCATATAGCCCAGGATGCCCTAATTACAGTGGCTGAGAATGACCTTGAACCCTTTTTTTTTGTTTGTTTGTTTTTCGAGACAGGGTTTCTCTGTGTAGTCCTGGCTGTCCTGGAACTCAGAAATCTGCCTGCCTCTGCCTCCCAAGTGTTGGGATTAAAGGCGTGCGCCACCACTGCCCAGCGTGACCTTGAATTCTTGATCAAAGCTCCCCACTGTAGTGTAGGGGTCACAAGAATGAACTCTATACCTAGTCCTTTCTTTTATACATTCTCAGTGTCACACATACATACCAAAAACATTTCACAGAATAAAGTAGTAGCATTTCACCGATACCTATTAATTTCTTCTCTTGAATGAACTTCACGTTGGAGAGAACTTCAGTAGATAATTCAATAGCTTGGTTGAATCCATTTTCACCACCATAGGATATATCAACTAATTTTAAAACTTTAGATTGCAACCTCTGACACAAATAGAAACAAAAACATTAGGACCTCAAATACCTTTACTGAAATCCCACTCTTAAAAAAAAAAAATGTCATTGGATTCCCCAGGAGCTGGAGTTACAGGTATTTGTGAGCCATCTAATACGCGTGCTGGGATCAAATTTAGGTCCTCTGCATGAGCCGTATTCACCCTTAACCACTGAGCCAACTCTCCAGCCACTGTTTTTTAAAACCTAGGGAATTTATTTCTAGGAAGGCCAACACATGCATAATGCACTGAGAATGAATGTATCTCGAACACAGACTCCTTCCACGGCAGTTCTTTTTCTCTTACCTGGTCAAACATGTCAGATTGACTTAGTTCAGTTTTAAAGTCAGCTGATCCAGCTAAAACCAAACCAGCCACATTCACTTTGTCTCCAGAAATAAACAGCTGCACAGCAGTCTCTGCTACTTTCCGAACATAGTTATGTCGCTTTTCCATTCTTAAACGGGCAAAACGCAAGGCTGATTGACCTCCTCTGCCTTTGACACAAAAGTGGGAAAAGGGTAACTATTAAAAAAGTACAACACGCCTTATGAAGCAAAAACAAAATAACCAGTCACCTGGTTATTAAAATAATCTAATCGCCACCTCCATAACTGTTTAGCACAAATGTGCTCATTTACTGTGACAGACAAGTAAAAGGACCCAAGCAGTCCTCTACATACCGTGTTTCTTTGGGAGATCCACAGTGAACTTATGCAGGACTTCTCTGGTGTTTCCTTGGAGCGTGCCAAAAAGAGCACCACTGCCGTCTATTACAATAAAACCAAACTTGCTATCATCTGAAAGTAACGCTGTAAGAGCCTAAAAAACAAACACAAGCTACACAGTGAACACCAACGCTCAGTTAACTCAACAAACATGGTATCAACGCTATGTATGGGGGAGTCATCTATAGACCTCAGCTGTTAATACCTAATGCTCATGGCTAGTGGTCTCAAACTCTGCAGGGAAGGACTTCTGTTTACAGTTACAGAGTCTGTTCTAGAGACAAGATGGTGGTGACAGTTCACACTACATTGCATAACTAAAAAAGTCATACTTCCTTTTTAAAAAAATTTTTAATTTATTTCATATACGTTGAGTGCCCTGTTTTCTTTTCTTTTTTTTAAAGACTTAATACACTGTAGCTGTCTTCAGATACACCAGAAGAGGGCATCAGACCTCATTACAGATGGTTGTGAGCCACCATGTGGTTGCTGGGATTTGAACTCAGGACCTCTAGAAGTGCAGTCAGTGCTCTTAACTACTGAGCCATCTCTCCAGCCTGTGTGCCCTGTTTTCATACACAAGAGGGCATCATATCCCATTACAGATGGTTGTGAGCCACCATGTGGTTTCTGGAAATTGAAATCAGGACCTCTGGAAGAGCAACCAGTGCTCCTACTTGCTGAGCCATCTCTCCAGCACCACAGTTAAAATTATTATCTGGATTTTACCACAATAATAGGAAGAAACTAAATAACCCCAAACCTATACTTGGGCAAGCAAGATCTCTCAGTAATTAAAGGTGCCTGGTGTCTGCACCTGATCCCCAGAACCAACAAGGGAGGACGGAATCAACTCCAAAGATGTCCTGACCTCCATAGGCAGGCCACAGGTTGTCCCCCTTGACAGCCTGCCCCCACTACCCAACCACAAAACTTGAGTGGAAACAGTGTCACCTGGGGAGGCAGACATAAGAGGATTTCAAGTTCAAAGCTGACCTGTACTGCATAGAGACCTCCAAAGCCAATCAACAAACTACAAAGCAACTACCAACCAACCAACCAACCAACCAACCAACATGTCAGCAGAAAATTAGTCTCTACTTTTTCATTTTCATCATTGAATTTAGATAGATGGTATATAAAGTATAACACCTAAATAAAAGATTGAATTTAAAATTTTGGTTCTTGTTTTTCTAGCATAGTGCTCTGAAATGTACCCAGTGGGACTCTTGCACTCTGAGTCAGTGTCCTACTAAAGCTAGTCACTTGCAGCCAACTTAACTTTCTGTTACTATCAATGACACCAGCATTACTAGACAGTACTACCAAGGTCAAATAATTCTACAAGTTAATTCTATAGTAATAATTAAAGGAAAACAGTAAAGTGTCTTGAAAAGAAAAAAAAAAAAAAAAACCCACTACACTCAATCTGAAAGAGCGTTGTTTCAACACGGAAGTTTCTCTGTGTAGCCCTGGCTATCCTGGAACTCACTCTATAGCCCAGGCTGACCTTGAACTCAGAGATAGATCCACTTGCCTCTGCTTTCCAGCACACACCACCACCACTCAATTTATTTCAAAGTTTAATTTTCCTATCTCTGTCTCTCCTGAGAGGCATAGAAGCAGCCCTGGGACACACCGAGACACATTTTCTGTGATGTGTTGAGACTTAAGGCCTGAAATATCAATAAATGCCATATTATAGTCTCTTTAGATCTAAGAAATCATTCACTCCTTCTTAACCAAGAAATAAGAAACTTTAAATCCGGCATGGTAACATTCCTGTAATATGAGCACTTGGGAAGCAGAGGCATGAGAACTGAGTCCAAAATGCTAGCATAGGCCATCTTAATAAAAAAGAAGTCAGGCATGGTGCGGGACTCAGTTGGACTCCCAGGCACTCAGGTGGAGCCCAAGGATCAGCAGTCCAAGGTCATCCTTGGCTACATACATGTGAGAACAACCTTTCTCAACCAAAGAAATTCTAATACGGGCTAAGGAGTGGCTTAGTAGGTAAGGTGCTTGCTATGCATAAGGACCTTAGTCTGGATTCCCAGTCTCCATGTAAAAAATTGGGTATGGGGGAATGCTGGGTGCTGGGGGAAGCCAAGTCTACACCCTTAGTTCTACTAATTATTTTAATGATCACTGGAAGAAAAGCAAAAACCATTTATGCTAATGTAATAGCTGAGCTAAAGCCAGACAATACAGCCATCAGGTACTTTTTCAAACAGAATGATCCAAAATCTGTTTTTTGTTTGTTTTGAAAACTAAGTTGATATAAGCAAATGTGTCAAACAGAATTGCTAACAGCCAGAAGAGGCCTCTGCCAGGACACTAGAAGCTAAGAAAAAAATAAGCTAGATTTCCATACAGTTACCCAAGATTCAACTGGAATTGGTCTTCCTGTCAAGTTAGCAAAAACCACCCACTGTAAACTGTGGACAAATATCAGCTCTAATCCCACTGCAGAGGCTTGTCTCTCTGGGTTGATGAAAGCCAAGAGACTAAAGTAGGAGCCAGCTGTGAATTCCTGATTGCTTACTGTTGACTGATTTAGGTCAGTCTAATGAGGTTTCTCTTCCACTATTAATGTTCATCATAGTTCTGTCACTCAGGGTTCATAAGAACAAGAAAAGAGAAAAACCTGTCACTAAATGCATTTTATTTGTTTATTTTTCAATGATTTGTGAGCTTAGTGCTAAAGGTGCAAAGACTATAGTCATGAGTATATAGAGAGGCAGTCAATCAAAACCAACCAATTACCTGGCTCTAACAAGTTATACAAGCCCAACTAAGAACCTTCTTCAAACACCATGATGAGTAGTATAATAAACATATGTTATTTTTAAAATAGTCATGATGGCCAGGCAGTAGTGGCACACATTTTTAATCCTAGGACTCGGGAGGCAGAAGGCAGACAAACATCTGAGTTCAAGGACAACCTGGTCTGGTCTCGTCTGTCTCTCTTCCTCTTCTTCTTCTTCTTCCTCCTCCTCCTCCTCCTCTTCTTCTTCTTTTGGTTTTTCAAGACAGGGTTTCTCTGTGTAGTCCTGGCTGTCCTGGAACTCACTCTGTAGACCAGGCTGGCCCTGACCTCAGAAATCCGCCTGCTTCTGCCTCCCAAGTGCTGGGATTAAAGGTGTGCACCACCACCGCCCGGCTCAGCCTGGTCTTTAGAGTGAGTTCAAAGATAGCCAGGACCACAAAGAAACCATCTTGAAAACCAAAAACCAAACCAAACCAAAGCAATCACGATGGAAGATGCCCATAATCCCAGCACTTCAGAGGTAGAGGCAGGAGGATAAGGAATTCAAAGCTAGCCTCAGCAACATGGACCCTGTTGTTGTCCACCCCAAACCTCCAATCCACAAAACAAACAAACAAACAACAACAATAACAACAAAAAAAACGAAAGAAAAAATGTCTATGTAAAAGGTTACAATTGCTAATGGTTTAAAAAATTGACTTCTTGAAAGATTAAATATTCTACATATATAATCGAATAAAAATAAAAGTAAATGGT